CACATGGCAGGCCAGGATCTCCCACTGGGGTGGCCAGCGGCTGGGGATCACACTGCCACCAGTCCCAGGCACTGCGGCGCAGCGGGATCTTCCTGCAGTATGCAAATTAGCCGCCATTTTTGTTGGCAGTTAATTTGCATATCACGCTAATCAGCCAATGGGAGGCGTAGCGAAGGTACGGTCAATTACAATGTTTGTCTATTATTAGATAGGACTAGTTCTAATACTAGGAATATGAGCCTCTCATAAACAGATGCCAACATCTATACAAATCAGCCTCCTAATCAACTAGGCACTTCAACACACACAAAGTACAATTAGGCAAATTCAATAAGTGAACTCCAAAGTATATTAAAGAAGAACAAGAGTAGTTTAGTAGTAAAAGATCAGGAACTAATACTAATAATTAGAAAGTCAAAAATTGTTATAACAATAAAAATAGCAATCCCTATAAAATATAAAAAGGGAAACTTTCTACAAGAATTCTATAGGCAGCAGCCATCGGGGGTAGAAGGAAATTTGATTTAATTAAGTCCAACATCATATGATTTCTTTCAAATAGAGCCTGTAAAACACTTCCTGAATGGAACAAATTCTTAAATGGAGCTCAGTCTCAATTTCAAGTTTTACAAGTCTCCCTTACTCATCCTTCACATTTTGAAAAAGAACATGAGCCTTTCAGCTTCACTCTGTAATGACTCAGAAACAGGAACCCCATCAATCCTCCTGTATATACTGGACCATTTTCATAGAAGGACAAAACCTAAATTAACCGTAACTTGGGATTTACAAATTAATCTTTTATTTTTCTAAACATTAAAACTCCAATATTATCAATGAATAAAATAGGTGATAAAAGTAAGTCAAATGCCCAAATTGGCTTCAAAGTGCACCACAGTAATGTAGTAACAAAAGAACAAAACACACAAAATTCATTAGCCTCAATGTGGGCACTGGAAAAGAAAGGTCCTGAAATTGGAGTGGGCATGCTTGATCTGATCCCTGTGCATATCTATCTGCACAGTGAGCCTTGAGGGAAGAGAATTATAATCAGTTCCCATGGGCCTACTTTAAGCTTGTAAAACTCAAGGGCAAGGACACTAAAGAAGAAATGACCCCACAGGGCTCTTGCTTACTAAAACAGCCAGGAAAAGCACACTTTTTTCTCTCTCTAGTGAAGATTTAGAAAAATTAATGTTATAAAACCACTCATTATGTTGAGAGAAAAATGGTAGCTGAATAGGCAGCAATGTCGTGCACCTCCTCCTAAGGCCAGGCCAGAAAAGCAATTAAACCAGAGAATATCCACCCTGAATTAACAAATTAGACACAGCTGAGGAGACAATCCTATATAATAAAAGAGAAACATGCAAATTAGCTGTCCCTCTGCTACGCTCCAGCCACGCCCACAAGCCAATCAGAGTGACTATGAAGATTAACCCGACAAAGATGGCGGTTAATTTGCATATGCAGGTGTCAGGCACCCCAGGAGGCGACAGTGGCCACGGCCGCGGGCTCCTAGGACCTTCGCTGGCCCGGGAGGCGAGGCCGCCTGTGCCTAGCCATGCCCGCGGGCTCCTGGGACCTTGCCAGGGGTGAGCAGGAGGTTTGGAGGACTTGGCAGAGCAGGAGACCGCTGGACATAGAGAAGAGAGAGAGAGAGGGCAGCTTGGAGGGTGCGGCTCCCTCTGTCACCCCAGCTTTCTCATCACAGCTGTGGAAACTGACAGCAGGGATGAGGAAGTCCCACCCCCACAGAATCAGCCAGAATCAGCCTTTGGTCAGACAGCTCTCAGCGGCCTGATAGCCAGGACTCTCATTCACCTGCATCTCAGACCATGACAGTAGAGAGGTGGGACTATGTCTAAAGAACAACTGTTGATACAACGTAGTTCTGCAGCCGAAAGATGCCGGCGTTATCAACAGAAAATGTCTGCAGAGCAGCGTGCGTCTGATCTTGAAAGAAGGCGGCGCC